CCACCACTCTCTTGTTCTAATAATTAGGTTTGTTTGAAGAGAACAGCCCAGGCTCCCTTGGCTACTGGAGCCTGATCAGGGCCCAGGGGGTTTGGGCACTGTTGGCTCACGGCACTTTATGACTTGCAGCTCTCGGATCCTTTGCAGCTCTGAGCAACCAGCACGGCCCAGTATGGGATACTGGGCTCATGTTGTGCAGCCCCTTCTGGCTCCTCATTTATTTTGCACTGGACCCTGCCATCTAAACACCTTTTTCGTTGGGTTTTTCTTTGTATTCCACAGGCATTTCAGTCCCTCTTTCGTTGCTGCCTTTGTGCTACTTCGAAGCCCCGAAAAGGTCAGGCCATGACTCAGCTTCGTACGCTGACTCGACTTAGGGAAAGAAAATCCAACCCAATAACTCTTCTAAGCCATAGACTTCCTATCCATGTTTTCCAGAATAATTTATTCGCAGCCATGTCACCTTCTGAGAGTGCACAAAGGCACGGTGAGGGTGTTCAAATGTGTTTGGGGTGGGGCTTTCCCTGGAAGGCTTTTTTTTTGGTAATGGAACACAGAAGTCGCAGCGTTTTGTTTTTTTTAAAGTGTTTTGCACATGTGTAGCTGAGGGAGAACTGTGTGTGTCCAAACCTTGAGTGCAATCAGTGGGATTCGTTTTCCAGGTGGTTGGGGAGGGGGGTAGGGGAGGGCAGGAATTATCTGTAATTATAGATATTTGAAGGCAGCCAGCTGAGAGTTTACAAAACACTTCGCGTAGCGGGAACGAACACGGGAATTTCAGCTCAGGCCGTGACTTTTGGCCGTGCCCAGTGACCTGGGGTGGCCACTTTGAGCTGCCAAGGAAGGGCCTGATTTTGGGTGCCCAGCCCCAATCAGGTGCCTCCAAAGGGTCTCGTAGGGGGGAACACCCGAGGGTGGCTTTTCACCTGCGAGAACTCGCGGCCTCTCTCCGCAACTTCCGATGTAACTGAACACAAATGGTTTGGTTGGTTGTTTTTTTTGTTGTTTTTTTTTTTTTTCTAAATTTTATTGTATTATTGCAATAAATCTTTAACAGTTAATTTTTTTTATTACTATTATTTTTATTTTTAAAGTTGTATAACTGTTACTTCTGTGTGGTCTGTTTTTCACAAGAATTTCCAGCCTTTGAAGCGTCACAGGGACCGGACCTGTTACAGTGCAATCAGTGGTACAGCGGTGGAAATAAGCAATACCCATTCTAAAAAAATACTCTTACATAAAATAACTGCATCTCCAGGGGAGCAGGAGGGCGGGTTCCTGCACAACACACACACACACATCCCTCTATGTACATGTAAACGGGTAAATCTCTCGTGTGAGCCTGGCTCGGGGCTGCTCATGTGCTGGGTGACGTTGGTTTCTGCAGGTGCTGAATTCCTGCTGCATGCAGAGGGAGATGCTCCTCCTTGCAAGGTCATTTCAGGATGCAAGATGTGTCTTTTTATGGCTTTAATTATTCAAGTGAAGCAGTGAGAGTCTGAGCAACAGGGATGGGAAAGGGCTGAGCAGGCTCTGCCCCTGGGACCAGGTGGCCTGGCAGCCCATGGGTTGCAGGCTGCTGAATGATGGAGGACAACCAACCCCTCCCACTCCGTTTTTTGGGATGTATCTGATAGGGGGGACTGATGCCCTGTGATTCCTGGCTGCTGCACAGTCAGGATTGGGAGCAGCAGCCACCCCACGAGCTGGGTGCAGGTTGTTGCCTCAGTCACAGCACAGTCAGTCCTGGCCATGGGCAAAGCCAAGCTGACTCTGAGCTCAGCTCGTGCCTGTGGGATGTTCAGGTCAGCTCTGCTTAAGCAGGGCCAGCAGCAGGAGGTTTTGTCCTCTGCCCACACTGGTTTGTGGCAGGAGAGCAGCCTGATAATGCCCCTAGTCCTGTCCCAACTCCAGGGTTGCCTGGACCAGCCAAAGGCAGGCTGGGAAGAGAAACAGCCCAGGGTGAGGCTTCAGCACCATTCCCACCGTGCAAGAAGTGGGACTCGAGACAGAGGTTGGATGTTTCAGTGCAGTTTTGTGCAGGTGTGAGATCCCAGAATGGTTTGGGTTGGAAGAGACCTTACAGACCACCCAAGCCCCTGCCATGGGCAGGGACACCTTCCACTAGCACAGGTTGCTCCAAACCCTGTCCAACCTGGCCTTGGACACTTCCAGGGATGGGGCAGCCACAGCTTCTCTGGGCAACCTGTGCCAGGGCCTGCCCACCCTCACAGGCAGGAATTTCTTCCTAATATCCCATCTAATCCTGCCCTGTCAGTTTGAAGCCATTCCCCCTTGTCCTGTCCCTCCAGGCCCTTGTCCCAAGTCCCTCTCCAGCTCTCCTGGAGCCCCTTTAGGCACTGGAAGGGGCTCTCAGGTCTCCCCGGATCCTTCTCCAGGCTGAACACCTCCAGCTCTCCCACCCTGTCTCCAGAGCAGAGGGGCTCCAGCCCTTGGGGCATCTCAGTGGCCCTCATGACAATTCCAGGGGCTGCCACAGGGGCAGAAACTGCAGGAAGTGACCTGAGCTCCACTGCAGCACCTCAGCCCCTCATCCCAGGGAGCAGAGACACAGCAGAGGGAAAAGCTGCTGCAGGAACAGCCGGGATGGAGCAAGAGCTCAAACACAAGCCTCGGCCACGGGTGGCTTTTTCTGTGGTGTCCATGCCAGGACAGTCCCAGAGCCTGATGAAAACTGGAAGCTCACAGACAATGGAAATGTTGTTACAACTTCTTCGCAGGCATATCTGGAAATTCAGTCCAGACGCTCCAACTGCTCCCAGGCAGGGAAGTCAAGCACATGGTGCAGTCCCTCATCCTCAGTCCTAAACACTGAACTTTACAAATCCAACACTGGGTTGTTGTTTTAACTGACTCATAGGAAACAAAAAAAAGTTTACTGGACCTTGGGTTCTCCCTGAACCATCCGTTTAGGAAACAGGAATCTGCACTTTGCTGCTTTTTAGGGGAAAAAAAAAAAGCCTGCAGGCAGCTCAGCATGGCAACACTCAGAACCAACCCACATCTGGATGCAAAAGCTTGTTCTGCAAAACAATTTTTAACAGCAATGCTGTGCGACAGGGACAGTTCCAGCAAACAATGCAATAAATGATGTATAAACCAGCTCAGGGGAGGGCAGGGATGGGGCAGGGTAGACAGCAAGTTGTCCTGCAGATTTACCTGCTCCAAGGAACAAAACAGCCTAATGATATTATTTTATCCTTGTTTTTCCCCTTGTTCAACAAAGGTGACCAAAAATCTCACACTCTGTTCCAAAAAAAATTACCTCACTGGCCCCTTATCTAATTACAAAATATTTTCCTCTGCCGCTCCATTCCAGCCTCACAGGGACTTTCCTCGCTGCTGCTCAGCCTCAAGTTTTCCAGAGTCTTTGGGTGGGGGGCAGGAAGGCAGCCTCTTTCCCCTTTCCCTTAATCACAATCAAGCTGGAGCCCTTTGATGCCGATGGCTTTGGCCAAACAACAGCCTGGCAGTTGCTTTGCCGCTGGTCCGGAGGGAGCGGGTGGAAGTTTGGGTGAATCCTGCGCCCCGTTACGGGATGAAGTCACGGATTAACCAGGGATCCTGCTTTTCCTCTCCCTCTTCCCAGCCGATTACAAGGAGGGCCGCACCCTCCTCTGAGATTGCCGCTTTCATTCCTCGTGGTTGTCATCACGTCTGAGGCCGAGCAGCCAGGGAGGGGTGTCTGACGCCCGGGGTGGCAGGAGCAGGTAAAGGCAAAAAATAAACCCTGCACATCCTTTAAACCTCCCTGAGCTCATCAAAGCCTCACTTCATCAGGCTGCAAGGGCTTAGCTCCCCTTCTCTCACAGTTAATGGAAAGAATAAAAGCATCCTCCTTCAATCCCTCTGCTCTGACACTCCGGAACCAGGCGAGTCGCTCCGTGTGATCCCAGTGCAGGTGAAGTGGAGGGGGGTGGGGAGCTCAGCCTGGCCCCCACAGCCAGCAGTTTTCCACACCTGGCTGATCCAGTGCCAGTAGGATGAGCCAGGTGCAGGGGCCACCCCATCCACAGCTCCTGCCATTTCCAGGTTGCTCCCTGGGGTTTGCAGGGCAGAAGGATGAGCCCCATGGGAAGGTGGCACCGGCTCTTCTTGCAGCAGGTCAGAGGTTTTGGCTGCTCCAGCTGGAATGGTGACTGCCAGGAGTCCATCCATGCCCTGAGAAGAGGCAAACAGCACCAAGGGTGGGGAGAGAAGGGACTTGGACAATGCAAAGGCACGGCTGCCACGCTCCGTTTGGCTCCCTGGAGAAACGGCTGCTGCTCCACGGACTCTGCTCCCAGGAGCTGAGCGTGGCTGCTGCATTGTCCAGGGTTCATTCCCAGACTTCCAAACCATTCACCCTCAGAGGGGTGTAACTGGAGCCTGGATCATGGCACTGCAGGAGAGGGATGTATTCAGGGAAATACTCCCAACAGATGCCACGCTCCGCTCCCATTCCCAGTTTGAGCAATCACCGTTCACCCAACACAAACCTTCCCAACTCCCCGGGAAAGCACCGACCCACAGCCAAGGAATGAGATGCCAGAGGCCACAGCAGAGCAGGACAAAGCACTGCGAGGATTTCTCCTGGCAGGGAAAAATTCCACATAAGAGCAGATGGCAAAGCTTCCAGCACATTGGAAGCCAAGGCAACTCCACATCCATCCTACTGGACCCACGCTCTGTCCTGGAGCTTCCAGGGAACAAGGCAGGTGCTCACAGAGGAGCCAAGAAGCAGGAGGATGACTGGAAAGTCCCTGTTTTCGCAAGCTTTACACACCTAGCACCAGAATTCCCGACAACAGGAGCCTCTGCTGCACGCAGGGCTGACAGGAAGGAAAGGCAAGGTTTGAATCTGTGAATGTTACAGCAGGGAGTTCTCCAAGGAATAGAGATTTGGGAGGGGAGTGTTTTTGTGTTCCTTTGTTAGTAGGACAGGTTTGCTATAGAGGAAGCTCACTCACTGCACGTCTCAACTACAGCACAGCACCAAGTTTCTGCCACGGGTTTTACAGCATTTTTATTATTTCGGGGCAAAAGTCTTACAAGAGAAAGTCTGGTAAGGCAGATCTAGAATGCACGTTTTATTTATGTAAAAAAAAAAAAAAAAAAACCAAAAAAACCAAAATCCAGACATCATGGGTAAGGTAGACAAGAACTTTTTTTTTTTAATATTCTGACTATACAATAATATTCCTCTTTCTTTTTTTTCTTCTTTTCTTTTTTTTTTTTTTTTTTTTTAAATCCACTGCCACGCTACTATAATGGGTCTGGTTCTATAGTCTAAGTTTCAGGTTGTCCAGTTTAGTTGTCTGCAGCTTCTTTAAACAAGTTGACCTTTACCTATTTAGAGTTTCTTCTCAGAAACATTCATATATTATGCGGAATATACAGATTTTTTGAAACGAGACACTTAAAAACACACACACCTATAGCCGCAACACTGGGATAGCTGCATTGTAGGGGGTTACCTTGTTCAGCCAGCTGTAGACTCTGTATGTACAATTAGGGGTTTTTTTATAGTGTTATTTACAGAGATGGACTAAAAGCTCTCTTTAATCTAAAAGGTAAAGGCTCTTGTGTTCGAGTATGTGCAGTTTCATAGCCCTGTGGAAAACAAAACAAAACAAAAAAAAAAATAACCACGACAATTATATATACACTGTAAACAGCACAAGGCATGAGAATCTCCTCCTACCCCAAACAATCTCGCAGGAAAAAAGTGTATGTGCACTTAATATTCCTCTTCCACTTCGGCTCCCGCCCCTCTGGTCTTCTTGTGGATGGCGCGGTTAAAGCTGTGGCAGGCGGGGACCCAGTGATTGTCGTGGAGACCCAGCTTGCAGCCCGGGATGCCCTTCTGGGACCGGTGGCAGCACATCCAGTAGCCGGGCCCGTAGGGCAGGGCCTGGCAGTAGGGCTTGGGGTGCCAGCGGCACAGGGACACGTCCCCCTTCACGTACTTCTTCTTGCACTGCTTGCAGGGGTCCTCGCGGTACCGCGGGTCCCGCACCCAGCGCGAGTCCGCCGGCCGGATGTTGTAGTACTCGATGATGAACTTGAAGTAGTAGCAAGTGCATTTCAGGGCCACCAGGCTCCTGGTGGGGAGCAGCCCGAAGATCTTCACGATGATGTGGTGAGGCAGGAAGGCCATGTACTGCTGAGGCTCCAGGAGCTGCTGGATTTTAAACCTGGTCTCCAGAAAGTCATGCGAGACCTGCCTTTTCAGGCAGGAAGCGTCAAGTACTTGCAAAGCCCCTTCTGTGGGAGGGACAGAGGGGGCCGATGGCTCTGTAGGGACACTGCTCCTCACACACGGCCTGCTGGACGCCAAAGCATCCTCCTCCTCGTTCTGGGCTGCTTCTCCTGGCTTCTCTTGGGTACTCTCCCGCGGTGGCTGTTGATCCCGAGCAGCAGGCTGCTCGTCCTGGAGGAAAAACAGCCTCCCCGGGAGAGAATCCTCACTGGAACTGGAGAGCTTCTCTTTCCTGCACCCTTTCTCGGTCTTGGTGACGGATATACTGATGCACAAGGGCTCCTTCCTCACGGGATGCAGGCTCTGCTTTGGGAAAACCACAGGCTCCTTTGACGTACAATCAACAGTCGCGTCCTTGCTCGGCGAGGGATCCGGCGGCAGCCTGGCAGCAGCAGCTGGACACGAGGACAGCAGAGCTCCGGGGGGCTCAATCCGTGTCTCAGTGTCGCTCCTGCCGGCTGCCATCGCCAGCACCGCGTGAGCAAGTCCCGAGTTCACATTCCCCATCCGGGTATCCAGCCCCGAAGGAAAAGGCCGCCGAGCAGAGGCGCCGCCATCCCACAGCTCGGCGTCACCCAGAGCACCACAACGACCCCCGTATCCGGCCTCTGCCACCCCCGCCTCCCCCAAGCCATCCCCTGAGCCAGAACCCCAGCACCCCCTTCCCCGCCTCTCCCTCGGCCTGGGTGCCGTTGGCCAGGAGCACCCTCCCGACGTTCCTGCGGAAGCTGTTGTTCCGGGAGAGGCTCCCGGCCTCCCGCTCGCTCTGGCGCCTCAGGCACTCCGACTCCAGCTTGGCCACCATGTCCAGCACCCGCACGGGCTCTCCCTGCTGCTCGCCGGGGCCCCTCTCCGCCTGCGCCTCGCACGCCCCGGCCGAGGAGAAAGGGTCGGAGCCGGGAAGGGCCCCCTTGGGCTGAGCGCTCGGCCTCGTGGCGGGAGCGGCCGTGCAGGTTTTAGCACAGTCCACCAGCAGGGCACTGGCTCGCTGCTCCAGGAAAGCCACCATCTCTATCACCGAGAGGGACCGGCCCGGGAACGCCCCCTCTCCGCTGTCATTCCCGTAGTGCACCGAGCAGTGCTCGATGCCACAGGCGAAAGGCTCGGGCTGGGAGCACCTGGCGTTGGCCTCCCTCATCCTCTCCAGTTGGATCTTGGCTTTTTTGAGGTCCACCGATTTTTTCCTGCGCTTGGCCGTCCTCCCGTCGATGTCCCACGTGCTCTTGATTTTCATGGAGCCCACCCGGCTGCTGCTGCTGCTGCTGCTCTGCTGGGCGGCGAAGAACGCGATTTTCTCCTTCGTGTTGCCGGGTTTCACCACGGCCCAGACATCCAGAGGCCCTTCCCCTTCCTCTCCCTGGTGGATCGTTGCAGACAGGGCGTTCTTCTTTTCCCTTGCACTCGGACCATCCGCTGGACCCTTCCCGTTCATATTGCACATAGTATTTGGATAAATAATCCCCAGGAGCTTTTGAGATGGAGTCACGAGGGAGGGTTTGGGGAAGACGCTCAGTTTGGTGCAGGTGGTGTATTTTTCTCCTTGTGCTGATCCCTGGTGGCCTCGCAGGGAATCCTGGCTTATTTCTGGGGATCGCTCTTTCTTCTGTAACTTGAGATATGGCTTTAAGTGCATACCAGAGACCCTGGAAAAACAGAAAGGGGAGAAGTGAAGTGACAGTTGCAAAATATCCCTGTCTGGAATTAGAGAAGGTGGTCCAGGGTACGGACCATCCCACACCTCAAGAAGAACCACATGAGAAAAGAAAATGAAGCAACCAAATCTCCAATATCCACCCTTGGAGAACTTCCCGCAGTAGGAGAGAACTTCCCTTAGATAAACCTGTTGCAAGGAGAAATCCTGGAGTTTATCAGTTGTGAAAACATAGCCAGTGGTTCATTTCAGAGCCACCCTTCTGCCTGTTCATTCCTTAATCCAGTTGTAAGGTACACATGGGTCATGGAGTTTATCTGGACATCTGCTATCAGAGATATTCCTTTCAGGAATAGACAGTTAAAAGTACAGTTAAAGCTGAAAAGTGAAATTAGCAAGTGTAATTACATTCATCAGAGATCCCAGTGGGTATCTAAATTCCTAATATCACCCAAAATCACAGAATGGTTTCGGCTGGACCTTAAAAACCACCTTGTTTCACCCCCCTGCCATGGGCAGGGACACCTCCCACTAGACCAAGTTGCTCCAAGGCCTGTCCAACCTGGCTGTGAGCGCTTCCAGGGATGGGGCAGCTTCTCTGGGCAATGAAACTTACCCTTTAGAATATTGATCATGACAAATTTGGTGACTTTCTCATAAGGGTCCTTACATTATTATACATCAGACACCCCCCCCAAAAGCGAGAGAAGCATCACGTACAGCTGAAGAGACCCGCTCTCAAGGACATGTTTTCATGGTTAGGAACTTAAGAGCTGTGAGGAACCACTTGGATGCTGCTGACACTGCAGCAGCACAGCTGCTGACTCCTGCAGCACTCAGCTCCTCTGTTCTGTCACACCTTCACAGTCACCTTCCATTCAGGGCTCAGAGCCCCGGGCGCTGCCCACACGGGGTGCGATCATCAGGAGACTCCAGGCTCTTCTCCCAGGAGTATCACAGAAGCGCATTACAGAACTAACTATAGATTATGTTTCCATGGTAATCTTTGAATTGTTACACTCAAAGGCCTCCACTTGGAAATGGGGATAATCTGTGCTTGCACGTTGAGGGAGCGGCAGGTTCAATGCCACATCCCTCAGGAGCCGATACGGACACGTTCAGGCACTGAACACGTTTCCCTTGAGAGTCACCACTGAGACACTTGCTCAAGTATTGCACTTGTAGCCTAAAAGCAGCTTTTAATTAAAAACCTCGAGGCACAACATCTACAAAGCCTGACAAATGTATAGCTGATGCTGCCCAAGCAGAGGAAGCCTCCAGCACCAGGAGCAGCCACGCTGCTTAACCATTGCTTTCCCTGGATATTTCCTTCTGGCCCCAGTGAGGAGAAGTGAGGGGCAGGCACAGGGGGCTTGGGGGGAGGTACATCAAGAGGAAGGACTTAGTTCAGCTTTCTGTGCCCCTCTGGTCCATGCAGTAGTGCTTTGAAGGCCAGGAAGCAGACCCTGCAAAGGATGATGCTATCTATGTTCTTTCCCTCGGGATTTTATAGGGAAACCATCGCCTCATTCTTGCAACCAGACAGCGCCAAAACCATCTGCATCTCACCTACAGACTGTGGGGGGAAGAGATCTCGGCGCTGCAGCTACACCTACCCAGTTCCTGGGTTAATTCTCTCCCTGTGCCTCCTGCGTGCTAATTCCAGCTCGTTGGAATTGGGTCACCTCCCAATTTAGTCTCCTCTGCAAAGCGCGACTGAGCTATTTTGTTTGCCTCTCCAGTTGGATGCTAAAAGCTGAAATAATCTCATAAAAATAGAACTTCAGGGTGCTGAAACAGATGCATGAAGAGAACATGGGAGATCAAGGCTGCTGGAGTTTGCTCCGGCCTCGTTTTCCACGGGGTCTGGCTCGTCTTGGCTGTGCTTTAGTGAAGCAGGGTCAGGCCCTCGATGCGCCCCGGCCAAAGCCCGGCCCAGAAGGGCAGCAGGTGAAGCACTGCAGCAAAAAGCTGCTCAGGGAACAGTGCCTGCAGCCCTCCCTTCCCTGCCAGAAGGACATTCTGGAGCTGTGCTTCCCGGATTAGAGAGAGAAAGAGAAAAAAAAGCTCCGGTGGCCGCCCGCCACCGTACCCTGGGGAGAAGAGGTGAACGCAATTAAATACACGATTTGCATGCTGAAATCTCCTGAGCCAGGAGCAGAAGATCAAATTTCATTCATGAGTTTTCCTGCCAAGGTGTTTGAAAAATGAGCCGAGCTGGTTCATAAAAGGCTTTCTCCGAGCAGTTTTCAGGAATCCGGGAGGACAATCGGCTCAACACCCTTCATTAAGAGAAGCTGCGAGTGAAGGTGAGACCAGGTATTATAAGAATGAAAACAGGACCAAACTGGTTACCCCAACAGGCTCGGGGGGACACGTTTAGCCAGCAAAGTTGGTTCAGCTGCTCCCAGCTCTTTCTGGTCTATGGAGAAAGACAAAGGGTAGAGTTCTGCCTCACCTATTACAGATTTCTTGTTTAAGGCTGTATTTCCTCCTGTGTTTCAGTTAGTCCCCGGCTCAGCCAACAATACCATTTAAGGTTGAAAAGTTATAATTTACATAACAAAATTATGCCTTACTCAGAAGTTTTACTGCCAGAATAATTGCCTCATTTGAATTCAGCACTCAGCTCATTGCACATGTTTTAATGGATCTGGATTTAAAAGAAAATCTTCATCTAATAACTTCAGACAGCTATAAAGAACACTGCAAAACTCCACCTGACCAGCTGTCACCTGCCTCACAGTTTTCCAGTAGCAGGGAAGAGAACTTCCATTTTAAAAGGGATCTCAGTAATGGACCTTACCTGAAAGTGTCTCTTGGAAAAAAACGAGCCCCCACCTCACACGCGCTTTGCTGTGGGTATTAAGAACGAACTTTTAGGCAAACACAACTTCTTCCCTGCACGTCAGCAGCACATCTCATCTCTAGCTCCTAGAATTAGAACAAGCCTTCCCAGCAGAAACTGCTTTGAAGATGAACCAGAGCCCAGTCCCCACCCACAGACTCCCCTATTTCTGCAGCGTCTCAGTGCTGGCAAGTGGAGAGCTGTGGCAGCTGCAGGTAAGCTTTTAAATATTTAAACCCACCAAAAATAGTTGCTAAAAGGTGAAGTCACTGACAATTCCCTACGAAACTTAATTCCAGAATAATTCTGTTTGCTTTCCTCCACCCTTTAAGTTATCAAGCTTTCTAATTTTATCTTTAGAGACAACGACTCTTCAGAAGTCCACAGAGCAAACATGAAAAGGTTTTTCAATCCCAAACGTGCGGTTTTAAGTTGCTGATAAGAGAGAATTCTGCCAGGGAATGATCAGCACTGAAACAACGAGCAGTGCTGCCTTCATGCTGTTATTCCATCCTTTAAGCTGATGAAGTAAAGGGGCCAGTTTTTCTCTTTCTAATCAGCCGTGTCTGAAAAACAGGATACTCGCCCTGCTGGAATGACACTGCTGTTTTCCTAAGTCGTAACTACAGCTTGTTTCCACTGTAGTTTTATCAAGTTAGTTACTCCATGCTGTTGATACAGAAATATATTCCTTTATAAGAGCACAAAAACACACACCCACTCCCCCTCTCCTCTCCCCACTGAAGGGAAGGCCTAAAACCCACTTGTGGACTCCCCATCCCTGGAAATTTCCAAGGCCAAGCCAGATAGGTCTTGGAGTACCCCTGGTCTAGTAGAAGGTGTTCCCCTGCCCATGGCAGAAGGGTTGGAATGAGATGGTCTTTGAGGTCTCTTCCAAGCCAAATCATTCCATGATTCTCACTTGCCAAGCTGGCCAGAATCTTCCTGCATCCTTTTGTACTTATATACGTTCTAAAATCACAGCAGCCTAAAAAAAATAATATATTTGCTTTAGTGGAAACTCCAAAAGTTGGAAGGGAAAAACTGGTTAAAAAAGGCTCAGTTTTTACAACTCCTTTGTGAGGTCCACAGAGAACCTTAATGCCTCTCACTGAGAGTCAGGGATACCTCATCATGAGAGTCAGGGACTCTCATGATGCCCTTGTGAAGCCAAAAGATTTCCTCTGGCCAGCAAGAAAAACAACAACAGTACAATATTCTCCAACAGCACATTCACCCTGCGAGTTTTCTGGGCAAAGCACCCACCGGAAGGTTTCGTTAAGGCGAAAATTTCCATCCAAACCCCCAAGTTTCCTGTGGATTTCTTCTGGTAAACACACCAACTGCAGCCGGCGAAAGCTCCTCGCGTTGCTGACTGCACACCCAGTGCCAACTACAACTCTGAAAAAAACCCTCAGGACACACTAACACAAGGCAGAAGAAGCCAAAAAAAAAAAAAAGGAGTTTAAAAAAAAAAATCAACAATAAAAACCCTCACCAAGCATAACCTCTGGCAAGGCTTTTCTCCTCCCTGGCATCCCAGTTCTCTGTCCACAGAGCTCAGCTCCTCTGCACAGGACACTGACAATTAGCAAGGACCCAGCACTAAATGTGAGTTAACTATGGTCAACCACTTGTTATTTCTGGAAGGGCTTGGTGGGTCCTTTGGGCTCAATCTGCAGTACCATTTCCATCCCCTTTGCACTGCCAGGGCAAGGCAGAGCAGACAGAGAGCTGCTTCAAAGGCATTCCACGGATTCTGCCGGGGCGGGAAAGTCCCGGCAGAGCAGCCTGGATGGAAGAGGCTCTGCTGCTCACTGGAGCTTGTTCTGGCACGTGGCAAGTGTCCAAGCTGGGAGAAGGGCGGGCTGGGAAGCACGACGCTCCGGAGCTGGGGCGGGTTGGACTCCGGCAGCTGTGGAGGCATCTGATTTCTAGAAAACCCACTCCCTTGGAGCGGCAGCTGCTCCAGACCCACCTCCCAGCGCCTGCAAAAACGCCTCTTGCATCTCTCAGAGAGCCAGCAAGGATTATTATGGGATTGGAAGGCAAGCAGAAGGTATCTGGCTGCTGAGGGAGAGCTCCCTGTCCAAGTGGCCAGCCTGCGGGAAGCGGGAGCAAGCCAAAAACGTGGGGCAGAGCTGGCCCCAAAGAGCTGAGGAACTAAATGCAAAGCAAACACCCAGAACTGACTGTTCACCCATATCAGGTGTTCAAATAACCTGACTCTGGGGGAGACAACACCCAAAAGTATCTGCACACAGGCATGAAGTCCATCATCCTCACCACGCTGGGGTTTCGGGTGACACAACACACACCCAAGCCCAGCACACACCACTCCAGTTCGAGGGCTCCCACCCAGTGATGTTTTGGACACATTTTACACTAAACACACACACACACCCTTCAACCTAAAGCACAGCCAACTTGGCTGTTTTTACTAAATTTTATACAGGGAGAAGTGCCACTGCTTTGCCAGGCTTTTGTATAAAAGCACTCACCGTGAAGCGAGTGACGTAGGGGCAGTTCTTTGTTGGGCCTCAGGAACCTCAAACCCCTGCTCCCTGCTCCCCAACCGTACTAGGGACGACACAGGGGTGACACAAAGCAGAAGGGAACAAAATGAACTGACAGATTTGGTGTTCAAGGTTATAAGCTGCTCCAGAAACGTGTAGCTCAGAGATGATGGGATGGCACACGTGCCCGTGGTGGAACAGGCCGAGATGAGGGGAAATCACAGAAGGACAGTAAGAAAAAAAAAAAGCACAAAACTGATGGTTTTATAGATCTTCTGCTTAAAACTGCCCAGGGCAGCACAGATAGGTGATATGTTTCCTTCTGGAAGTCTTTTACTTCTCTTTACTTCAACGTCTGTTTTCTGATTTATTAACTGCAACAGGACCAAGACCTTTCTTCGCATCACAGCACAACATGCATTTCTTCAAACAGCTCATGAACCAACACAAAGGGATGCTATTTATAGCCTCCATTTTTGTGCATGTGTAATGAGAACACATGAAAGGTTGCAGAAATTAACCTTGGACCACACGATCAGTCGGAGAACTCGGCGTTCAAAAGAAAGAATAAGCGAAAGTGGATCTGAGGGCAAGTCATAAGGTTGCTCTTTTGAAACTCAAGGCTGAAAGGAACTGGTTCATGGGTGTTCAAGATGTGCTGCAGAGGATTTCACTGCAGACAGATTTCTCCAGGAGCCACAAGGTGTTTTCATTATTAAGAACACATCCCAAACGAGAACTGAAGAAAGTCCAACTGGATGTGATCCTCTTTTGTGAAGGACACAAGAAACAGATGCAGGTTTCGAGTCACATCACTTAGAAACTCGTATCTTGGAGCTCAAGATGTCTAGGGATAAACATGAGAAGTGGTTGCAGCATTAAGTCACTGCAGAGATATTTAAAAACAAGCAACAGTGAAAGGTTCCTCAGCTTGTGAGAAAGGACTGGGAGAGAACCAAGGCTGCAAGGAAAGGCAGGGCAGAGATCAGGAGTACTCCAAGTGCTACACAAAATACCAAAATTGACTTTGCAGCATTTCTAAAGAGGGGTGGTAACCGCGATCGTGAGGGCAAAAGCCCAGGCGTTAATCTGAAACAAGAACATTGGCAGGGGGAGGATTAAAGAGCTTCATAAAAATCGTGAGGATTGGCTCATCTCGGTTTTAGAATCCAAAACAGATAGGCTCACGCACTGCAGGCCAAGAAACAGGATTTATAAACCTCTTGAAAGGCAACAATGGGAGATAATAAACATGTGGCACATTGGAGGGGGCACTGCAGGGGAGAAAGGGAAGGGAGAATGATTGCAGCCTCTCCAGGGCTGGTATTCTGCCTCCAATATAAAGGTGCTTTGCAAGCAAAGAGGATTAATGTGACACAGAGAAAAGAGGGGGAAGAGGGAATACTTCAAAATGCCAGACTAACCTCAAGGTTTTCAAAAAAAAGTGATCTTTTTACGCAAATCTACTATATCTTACTCACACGGTCTTCAGAGAGCACAAAGAGATTTACTGGTGAAGACAGATTGGCAGAGGAATGGGAAAACAGACAAAGGAGCTGGCTTAGCAGCAGACAGCCCCAGGTGATGCTGAATAAGAAAATACCAGCTTGGAAACCAAAGGCATGCCTCAAGAATCAGCCTGGGGAACATCTGATTTTGTTAGGAATGACCTCAGCACAAATACTGCACCCCCAGAACTGGAGGCAGCTCCAAAACAGCAGAGGCACAAAGCTCCAAGTAACAGAAACACGGACAGTGATGCACCAGAGAGAGGAACACCAAGGAGTTCTGGAAGTAGCTAAGGTGAATTGGCCACCACAGAACTCTGTGACACGTTTGAGGCAGCAGCAAGAAAACCCTCCAGCCCGATCTGCCCTGGAGCAGACAATTTTAGCCAGGACACAGATATATCCACACTGAGGGCAACAACAGTTGTTACTCAAGAAGCTACTTGAGAAAACTTGGGTCATTTAGCACCACAAAACCACAGGTGAGGGTCACAACCCCATCTTACAGAATGCAGCCAGAGAGGTAAACCACTAAAAATAAGAAGTGGGGAAGAAAAGCAGAAGGAAAATACAGGAACAGAAAGTCAAATAAGCATGTAAACTGTCATGAATGTTTAGTCTGGGAGTCACAAGGAGGTTCCTAATTGCACAGCTAGATCTGTCATCTTCAGTAATGGCTTAATCTGCTGGAGGAGAGAAGAAGAGATGTAAGAAAAGATGTAAATGCTTTTAGGCTAGACTAAGTTCACAAAAGGGATTATGTGATACTGCTTGGGAAAGCAAAGAGCTGGGTGACCCAGGAAGTCTTTTCCAGCACTAAATTACCATGAGACTAACATAGCAAGTATATGCTGTCTACACAACCACAAAGAACAAAGGTTAAAAGTTTGCTTTAAACCCACACAGCTTTTGGAAACCAAAAAGCTGGCGCTCTTCCGCCAGACTGAGGAAGTTTAGGAGCCTTGCTTTCAGAAAAAGAGAAGGAAAAAAAAAAAAGAAGATACATATATTTTGAAGTAGCCTGAACTCAAACAAACCGGCGTGTTCCTGCATTTGCATAAGGACGAGTTGTTCTGCACGGTGTTCCTATAACGAGACACAGTGAGAGGCGTTCACTTAATTGTCACATAAGCACAAGTGTTTGAAACCAATCGTGCATTTCTTCTTAATAAGAGACACAGGAGAGTGAGCAATGCAAAATCTGAGCTTAAACTAATCTAATTACTTACTCCATAGTAAGGCAAACCGCAACAATGACTGCCAGCGTTTCCACTTGCTCTAAGCTGACTGCATGTTCTAAAGCCTCCTCTGACGAGCCACTCGCCAATTAAGTTTTACTTCAAAGTCGTGTTCCCAAACTAATTTACAGCTGTTGCTAAAAAAACCCAAGGATTTCTCCGAGCACCCCGCCAGCTGTAGGGAATCTGCAGTTGTCATTATCAAATAAAAACGTCAAAAGAACATTTCTGCCCTCGAGCCATTACGGCGTTTCACTTAAACCCGAAAGGAAGAATTCAGAGCGAGCGGTTGAGTGACAAGACGGTGGGAGAGCAAGGAGAGGGCTCAGTCAGTGCTGAGCAGCCAGGCCCAGTCTGTTCATACCGTTTGACTTGGTGGAAGGTGGAGGATGTGGAATTCAGCGGTTCCCTGTGGAGGCCAGCTCTGCAGGAACTCTTCATGGTAACTCCCTCTCCAGCTAAGGCACGCCGTCACAGCCAGTCCATCCTGGGTCACACCCCAGGCTCCCCCATCAGCTCTCCTTGCCCCACACAGAGCTTCACCGTGTCTCTGCCACCTAAAAACTGAACAAACACAAGAAGATCACGTTCAAGCACAGCAGCAAACGAAGCACAGATGATTCAGACATGAGACAAAAAAAAAAAATATATATATATACACATATGTGCATGCACAGATACAAAATATATATTTTTATATATATATATAAAAGAACTTAACATCATCATGCCATTCTTGCAGCTGGAGTTTCTGAACACCATCAGACACAGATTAACACAGCAGCCTGTCTGCACACACAACACTTTTTCCACCTTATATACACGGCTACAGGGCTACCTCGTTACCTCCCACGGAACACCTCCTCTCCAGAGCTCGGCGTAAATGGGACACACGAGATCCTTCTGCTCCTTAGCACTGCACCAGGCTTTGGGGGGGAAAAGAGCTGCTGGCAGTAGGATTCGAGCCTGCCGGGAGTTACGTTAGCGCTCTAATCGAAATAGCGTGGTGGATCTCACAGAGGACAGAAAACATGTCACCACCCAGCCTCCACGTCCTGTGAAAACTGCCCTGTCTTTGCATCACGTGCTGATAAGGCAGATTACACCCAGAGCAACGCTGCCCTGCGGTATCTCCTGTTCTCACTGCCTTCTACACCTTGGCCTTGGAGCAGATACTCTCTCACCGGCGCCTTAACGGACTCGGATGGCGAAAGAACAACAACCTTCGAGCTGGAACATTAAAGGCAAGAGTGACACAGCAAAAGAGCCCTGGACAACCTCAAATGCTCCAGCCTGAGTTGCCAGCAGATTGTTTCAGAGCCCGTTTGCTTCCTCTCTAGAGGGACCACGCTCGGCGATGCCGTAATAAAGGAATGCCATTTGAGGGTGCTAAACACAGAGCTGTGCCCCCAGGGGATCTGTGATTTAGTGCAGCAGGTTGTTCTCTCCTTTCCAGCAGCCTTGCCCAGTGTTCCTGCTGCTGCCCCGCTCCTGCTTTTGCAGAGATGGAGCCTCTCACATCAATCAGCCCCCTCCCAACAGCTCCCACGCAGGAGAGCCCCAACCCACACACCAACCAGTGCTTGACCAGTGTGGTTACAGCTCGGGGCTCCCACTGAACACTCCTGGCCTGCAAAAGCTGCTCTTGGTGGCCACACTTGCTGAGAAAACCACAAAGGATGAATGTTCCAGGCAGGAAAAAAGCAGAAGCCGGTTTAGACTCATCTGGCTTGACTGTCTGCTACGGCAACTCCACGATTCGTCGACTGATGGTGATGGAGAGGTTAATCGTTTGCCTACACTTGAGTAGCAGCAGCCTAAAATAATATATAAAATATTATATAAACACATTCCAGCCCTCGTGGAGAAATCTCTGCTGAGTTCTACACAAGGCTGAGAAACGTGTCGGGTGGAGAAGACGGAGGCATTGCACTGGCAGAGCAGGGGGGTGAGAGCACGTCCTCAGCTCCAGGAATTCAGGAATAATACCAGGAGCCAGGCTGCCACGATGAGCAGGAATTGAAGCTCTGTAGTTAAACACCACTTTCATTAGACTGACCCAGAGCCTGGAACAAGGACCTGCCCCTAGGAGTGAAACCTAGGCACAAAAATCAGCTGTTTCTGGTGTTTGGTGGGCTGTAAAATGCACATTCACAAACAGTAATTCACAGAGGGGGGGAGGAAAAAAAAAAAAGCATGTGCCTGGTGCTTTGGGAAAATCAAAATTAAACACGAAATTGTTGCTTTCCCATGAACCATCAGTGAAGAGGCACTGAAATCCTGACTTTTCTCCAAGCTTTTGTCTGGCTTTCCTTCTGGCTTTACTGACACCAGCATTTCAGACTCAGCAGGAGCTGTATCACAAAAAAACATGATTATATCCACACCCAAATAAACGCAACCACACCATTTCAAGAATGCCACTCACTTTTTCAATAGCTACAACTCCCCCCCATGTATCCCTGGTTAGAAATACCACACATTTTGTGCTAGTCCTACTCCTTTGGAGATCAACTCAGAAGTAAAAGAGAAAAGCCAGAGCAAAAAAATTGAAACCCAAAAGGTATCTTGCTTGGAGTGAAGAGCTCGAGAAGCAAAACCGTGAGAAGAAGGGGGTTCAGGTCAGGAGCAGCCACAGCCCTGATCCAAGCACAGGAATCATCATAGTGGGATGTCACGTGTTTAGGAAGGAACCAGCACCTACCAGAGGGAAGCAAAAGCTGGCAAAATAGACACAGCCAAGTTCAGATGGGCACTGCAGCCCAGCTCCAACCACAGCTCCATACAAAGCATGCTTTTTCCCTTCCTCTATAGCTGCTGGGCCATAGAAAAGAGCTGAAATAGACTATTAATGCCAGCGAGCTCCTGACAAATTCCTACTGTGTGAGGAGTAAAAAGCTGTGTTTGTGAATTAAAAAAAAAAAAAAAAAAGGGAAAAAAAAGAAGGAAAAGGAAAAAGAAAAAAAAAAAATCAGCATCCAAGCTAGCAAAGATACTTACTGCCTTTTAATTACCACTGTTTCTGCACCAGGGCTGCTCTTTAGCAGGAGGTGCTTCAGCCGCTTTGCTGGTTTTGCACGGAGGAAAAAACTGAAATACAGATGCACGGAGAAACAAAACAGGAGAGGAAGTTAAAAACATAACGGTGCTGTTCTCCCTTTCTGAAGCCACCCCCCAAACATCTGCCTCGGTGCACAAGATGTGGGAAGGGCTGGGATTTTGGCAGCAGTGAAAGCGTCACATCCTCCCAGCCTCGGACGGCAGTTCGGTCCCGCACAATTCCATGTCTTATCGCCGGGTTTGAACGCTGCTGCAGCTCAGGAAAACAAGTGGGTGAACTCAGCCAGAGTGGATGAAGGAGGGGGGGGAGTCAAGGTCTCCTCCTCTGTGCAGCAATTTGATATTCTGAACTACAACAAGTGCGTTTTAGCTGTGGCAACAGTAACTGCTCAACAAAGGAGTTCGAGGGGTGGGCACATCCTCTCAGAAAATTTATTTTCTAGAAAGGAGGCAGCGGCCTCAGGGCTGGATCCGAGCAGCAGCCACCCTGCTGGTGAAAAACAGGTGCAAAAAACACATTTGAGCCATCCCATCAACACACATGGGCAAGGCTCAGGGTGCTCGGCTGGGGGCACTGGATCAGCTGGGCAAAGAGCAGCAGCAGCATGGCCAGGATGCAGGAGAAAGCAGCTGCAAGTGCTTCAGAGGGGAACTCAGAGGACTTAATACCAAAAAACAGACATTAGGATGGTGAAAAAAAAACAAAAACAAACCCACAGTGCTGAGGCCTTCTTATAAAGATGTGGGGGTTTGTTTTCATTCAAGAACCAAGTTCTAAGTCCATCCCCCCACCACTGAGCTCAGGTTCAGGTTGTTACATGATATTTGTCTCTCAAACTGTATTTCACCAGACAGGCAATTCCATCATTTCCCAGCCTGGTCATCCTTCCCTCCCTCCCTCCCCAACACCTATAACAGCACTAGAATCTCCTAAGCAAGAAGCTTTGGCAGAAAGCTTTTCCTCCTCCCAATATTCCCACTGGGAACGATCCACAGCAGCTCCCAGACTAGGCTGGACAGCAAGATGATAGACCAAATCCTCATACTCAGCCTCTTAGACACCTACAGGAACACAAGCCCTCCTTCTAAACCATCCTTCAGGTAATATCCTCCTATTTAAAACACCTTGAAGAACTGCCTTTTGACACTAAAGGAGCCACCACAGACATAATTTGCCTTGTGTGCTCAGCTTCCCCACCGCTTGATGGTCAGAAAGGATAAAGTTGCACAGATCTGATGTTATTTCATTAATTCAGGATCTGCATGGCAAAAACAAATCCAGTTTTATGCTCTAACAAGGTAACTCTGATGTTATCTAATCTAAAAAGCTGCCACAGAGGCTCCAGCTGGAATAAATATGGGAGAGCCTCCCATGTCCACTCACACATCAAAATCAGCTGACACCTCTTCTTCCAGGCACCAGGAACCAGAGCTGGTAAAGCAAGACCTGTGACCATTGCCTTGGCTCATTTCCCCACCAAAGTTACTCCAGCCCTTCCCTCTCTCCCATCCATACTCTGTACCCTGGATCACACCAAACAGAGCAGTTCCTGAACTGGAATCTGAAGATTCCCACATAAGGGGAATCAGTGGAGGCCACAAAGGTGATTTGGGGTCTGGAGTCTGTCCTCTTACGAGGACAAGACTGCAAGAGCTGGGCCTGTTTAGTCTGGAGAAGACTTGAGAGGGGAGCTCATCGATGCACATAAATATCTCAAAGGTGAGTGTCAACAGGATGGTGCCAGAGTCTTCTCGTTGGTTCCCAGCAACATCAACTAAAACACAAAAAGTTCCACCCCAACATGAGGAAGAACTTCTTTACACGGAGGGTGGCAGAGCACTGGAACAGGCTGCCCAGGGAGGCCATGGATTTTCACCTCTCTGGAGGCATTCAAAACCCACCTGGACACCTTCCTGTGTCACCTGCTCCAGGTGGTCCCTTCCAACCCCAACTATTCTATGATTCTGTGATTCTGTTGTAAATTTGAGCTCAGGCATCCATGTCAGCAGAGAGCACATGGATGCTCCAAAACACTGCAGCCCCTCAGCTGTTCCAGTCACTGTAATTCCTGCCATGCTGAGTCTTATTCCTCTTCTCCTCCCAGCTCATTCACACCTTTCCCCTTATCAGCACTGGTTTCCCATTTGATTTCTCACCTGAAGCAGCTCAGGGAGCTGAACTAAGAGAGAATTAACCCAGACTTGTCAGCTCCCTGACCCACTTACCCCCAAGACCTGGTAGGAACTCACAGAGCCCGGCTGGACATTCTCAGCAACTCAGCCTGGACTCAGCCAGCTCCAATCCACACCTGGAATCGTGCTGGAAAAGGTGCCTGCTGCAAAGTGGGTTTTTACCTCCTTTCAAGTCAGTGGAAAGGAACACTTCTGAATGCACAGCGGGCAGAATGCAGAGCGTTTCGGAAGCGGGGAAATGAGCGTGTAGGGCTCCAAGGCAACATTTGACTCTCCACTGCTGTCAAGCAGCGCTACTTGCTGTACTGATAAGCATATGAAATGCTTATTCTAATGAAGCACTACAGGGAGAACCTGTCTGCCTTCCAAGATCATGTCAATGCAGAATGAAAGGCTTCACATTGGTAGCAATCCTGCCTTTTCTCTAGGTGGGGTAAGCGTTGGAAGGACTAAGCCGTCCCCTCAAAAGGAAAATCTCAGAAGGGAAAAAAAGAAAAATAAAGGAAAGACAAGCTCTGCTGCACCCTCTTAACTCTGTATTTTGAGTACTGGAAAAAAAAAATAATAATATTACAACTGTTTCCCTTGTTCAGCTATTCCTGAAAGGCCTCAGCTGTCTTGCACAATTTGGGTAAGGACATCACCCGTTGCTCAATGGGGAAGGAGCTGAGAACTGGCTCGTTAGATTTGTCCTGCTTGATCCAGGAGGAAAACAAAACCAGTAAATGCCTCACTGGGCAGCGCTGGTGACAAACAGTACCCCCCCTTCCCCCCAGGTCACACATCCCTCTCTGCTTTCTAGAAAGCTGCCTTGGCACCGCTGCCACCGTCGCGTGCCCCGAATGACAAGCGGGGTGGTGGCCGAGCCCCCCGAACCAGCCACGGCTGCTGCGGCCTCGGCTGAGTGGGCAAAGCCACTCACCCACACTGGGGGGGCCACGTGACCCTCCCCAGCCACGTCTGGATTATTTGGGAGTACAAAACTAGACGTGTTTTTGCCACGCAGATCCTGCATTAACGAAAGCCCAGCTGAAAAGGCCACTTTCTCGGGGCGAGGGGGAAGGAGAAAGCTTCCAGAAGCCTTCCTATTATAGAAGCCAGGGAGCTGGTTCCAAAAATAGTAGAGCAGCATTCCCAGAGCTCTGGAGACGCTGTGCCCTGGTTTTGTGAGGCTGAGGTCTCCCTGGGTCGCTCCTGTACAGGCAGAGATGGGCAGGAACAACTGCAAGATGCAGAACTGACGTGAAAAGGCAGAGAAACCCAGGCAGCCCGCAAGGAAGAGACCAGCCTGAACATCAACAGAGGGAAAGCCAGTTAAAACCAGCAAGGAGAATCCCATCCTTTTCAAGAACACAACATCAGCTTGCTAAAAAGGATCCTGATTATTAAATACGACAGCAGTGATGCGGCAGGTTAGGATTGTCAACAATCATTTCATCACCCCGTTTGTCCTGTGGATGTCAGGGATTCTGCTTGGAGAGATGCACTGGACCTGTTTGGTAGATTTGTTTTTGCTGTGACAGCTCATAAACTGGTCAATAGGCCTTCCTGATGAGGAGTTCCT